GTCTTGGCTAGTTGGGCTGTCTGTCCCTCACTGAAACATGGGTTTCTTGCATATGAAGAATGTCTTGGGCTGGGTACCCCCAGAAGCTGACCTTGAGACAAAGATTTGGGTACAAGTGGTTTATTTGACAGATGCCCAGAAAGTGCTGATCGGAGTGGCAAGGTGAGTCAGGGAAGAGAAGGAAGCCACTGTTCATGTGGCTCTGTTCATGTGCAGGTTGCTGTTGTGGGCAATTGGGGCTTACAGATTTCTAGGAGGTGACATGGAATACACCTCAGTGTTACCCACTGGAAGGGCAAGGAAATTTGGGTATTTATATGTCAGCTCCCATTCATTATTGGCTAAGGTCAGCTCCTAGAGGGCTTTGGCTCTGCGTTTCAAGCCTGTGCACATAGGCTGAGAGGAATCCCTGAGTCTGAGTCACAAGCACCCACAGTCACACTCAGATAGCACCTATAGGAACAGTGACTATGGAGGGGTGTAGGTGGCACACCAACACCACCAGTTATAAAGAGGGAAAATGGGAAGGAAAGACGAGAGGAAGGTATGGAGTTAGATTCCTGGGTCAGATGTGAACCCCTGGCTCTCAAAATATTCCTTTTTTTTTTGAGGCCAGGCTAGAATTCAGTGGCATAATCACAGCTCATGGCAGCCTCTACCTCCTAGGCTCACATGATCCTCCCACCTCAGCCTCCTGAGTAGCTGGGTCTACAGGCACATGTCACCACACATGGCTAATATTTCAATTTTTCTGTAGAGACAGGATCTCACTATGTTGCCCAGGTGGGTCTCAAACTCCTGGGCTCAAGCATTCCCCCCAGACCTCCCAAAGTGCTAAGATTACAGGTGTGAGCCACTGTGCCCAGCCTCCTTAATTCTTAAAATAAAATAGTGGGCAACACCCCTCAGTCTGTGCAGGGTTAATCTGGATAAGAGTGTCTGTTCAAACCCAACAGGGTTGGTGAAAGGTTGGAACAAGCCAGGTATTCCAGAGGGGCTGCTGGATGTATTCTAGTTGCCATAGCAACTAATGCCAGTTAAGGCGTGGTCCTTCCTCTAGTGTGTCCTAGTAACCTACAATTGAGCTGCTGGAGTTTTCACCTACTGTGATAACATGGAATCTGGTTGACAATCCGGATGAGTAAGGGTCGAGGAAGCTGTTGAGATGAACCTGGCTTTTCCCCCACCAGCTCTGCCCACTTGTCTACCTGTTCACTGTCTCCCCCTCTTTAATCATCAGCCTTCTTCTTATGTTCTGTGATAAGCCGGCTGAGCTTGTGTGGTGCCTGGAAATTCCATGTAGTCTGACATTACAGAAAGAATACAAGTTTCGTATGACAGGCCTGGTGTTCAGATTCCAGATCTGAGGCTTTGGTAAAGCTGTTTATCTATTTTCAGCGAGAATACTAATATGGCAATAGGATTGTTGTTAGCATGTAGTGAAATATAGTGCATGTAATACACTTGGTGGCCAGGCACGGTGGCTCACGCCTGTAATCTCAGCCCTTTGGGAGGCCAAGGCAGATCACTTGAGGTCAGGAGTTCGAGACCAGCCTGGCCAACATGATGAAACCCAATCTCTACTAAAAATACAAAAATTAGCTGGGCATGGTGGTGGGCTCCTATAGTCCCAGTTACTTGGGCCAAGGCATGAGAATTGCTTGAACCTGCGGGGTGGAGGTTGCAGTGAGCTGAGATCATACTCCGTCTTAAAAAATAACACTTGGCCTGCGGCAGGTGTCAGTAAATGTTACCTCCCTCCCTACTCCCCAAAGCTATAAAGGCCATCTATGGAATGGAACTGTTCTGCCTGGATGGTATGTCCAGTTGCCCACCTGTCTTTGCCAAATCCCCTCCCTCCAGGGAGTCTTTCCTGATTCATCCCATTGGACTCGGGGTTGTCCTGGAACTTCTGTGCATGATTTGTATTGCAGTAATTCGCACTTTCATGATTCTCTCGCAGTTGCATAGCGTGTATGGTTTACACACATTAACATGGCATTATCTTATTTAATGTTAACAACACTGTGAAGAAGTAGGAACTCCCCCCGCCAACCCCCACCAATTTGCAAGTAAAGAAGTTGGAACTCAGCTTAACTGGCTTGGTAGGATCACATAACTCAAAGTGGCCCCACCAGAGCAGAACCCAAGCCTCTGCCCTCCACATTCTGTGCACGTTCCAGCACACCTAATGCCTTGCTTTGCGCTCCTTGAAGCCTTTCCCTGTGTGTGCAGTCCTTGTGTCCCTGAAACCTGTGAGCATGTCAGGGGCAGGGATCACAGGCCTTCTGCTGGAGCAGGAGCGTCCCAAAAACAGAGACTCTCTCTTCTCTGTCTCTCCATTTCCCCTCAACACCTAGCAGCGTAGGTTCTCAGGCCGTGCTGAGACTGACCAGTGAATCATTGTTAGAGACCCCCTCCTAAAATGCCCTTATGTGACCTCGCTATCTTCCAGGATAGAGTCTTGCTTGGGGAGCCACAAAGTAGCCACAGTCAGGAACTCCGGGCCAAGGGCAGAAGGAGCAACCCAAGCCTCTGTGAATGCAAGTCCTTGTTTGACTCCAACTCAAAGGCTGAGCTGTCCCAGGATGTTCATGAGGGGCCAACTCTGGCCTCTGGGCTATCAGATGTCTCTGGCCAGGCAGTAAAAGGCCATTCACTGCAGCTGAAGAAAGGCCAGCAGGCTGGGCCGAGGGACTTTCCCACTGAGATGTTCAGGGTTGGGAGCCCAAAGATGCTGCAGGACTGAACGATTGTCATCGATACATGGGAGTGACAATGGAACAAGCACAGGCAGAGGCATAAAAGTATAGATTTAAAAAGCAGGCCAGAGGAGAGAGTCAGGCCTTGAGAGACCAAAAGCACATAGCTCCACTGGAGGCAGATCAGCACTCACTGAATACACAGGGCAGGATCACGGAGAGACAGGGTAGGAGAGGCTGACACGGGGGCATGTGCGGTAGATAAACAGAGTCAGCATGTTCGTGATGTGCACGCCAAGCAGTGGAAATGAGAGACAGATACTGCGTGAGACCCATCCAAACATGTGTGTGAGAGGGGCCGGATACAAAGAGGCTATGTGTGCACCAGATCGACTATTTGAAGACAGGCCCGTCGATGTGCAGGGGGTATGCAGCAACCAGACAGGCGCGGAGAGTGTCTGAGAAGCGGAGGGATCCTTCCAGAGAAAGGCAAGTGACCTTGTGCTCAGCCTGGGGGGGTGACCCAGAGCAGGGTGAGTGTATTCTCACCAGCCTACCCACCTTCTCCTTTGGCCAGCTCCTACTAAAAGGGGTCTGTGGCGTGTCTTATCTCTTTCTTGTGGGGCATCTCCAGCTTGGGAGACAGGAACAATCTCTGACCTAGTTCCTGCCCTCTTTGACTGACCGCTCACCCTCTTCCAGCTCCTCTCCCCAGCCTCAATCTCTCATTCTTCCTATACTTTGATGTCTGGCTTCTGTCTTGGCCCCTGTGGGTTTGATGACAAAGGGCAGTTCAGGAATGACAGTATCTACACATGTATGGCCATATGGACAATTTCAGGTGGTGGGACTTCTAGCAGCCAAGGTTCCCAGGACTGCTGACATTCTGCTGAGTGTTATTAGAATATCAGGGACAGAGCTTATCATCTGGCTGTCACTGCCCCTTTCCAAGCCACAACAAGCCTCCACAGAGAGGCCCTGGGGGATAGCCAGCTGCCCTGTGCCCATGCTGGGGGCCCTGGGGGATGGTGAGCTGCCCTGTGCCCATGCTGGGGGCCCTGGGGGATGGCCAGCTGCCCTGTGCCCATGCTGGGGGCCCTGGGGCATGGCCAGCTGCCCTGTGCCCATGCTGGAGTGAACTTTCCTCTGCCATTCACTGTTTTCTGGATTTAGCCAGGGAAAGGAGTTCCCTGTGTGAGGTTCCAACTAAGAGAGCCCACCGTTCCCAGCTCTGATCAGATATCCCTGAAGTTAGGAAGTCAACAACTATACAATCTCTCTCTATTTTTTTTTTTTTTTTTTTCCTGAGACAAGTCTCACTCTGTCACCTAGGCTGGAGTGCAGTGGCACAATCATGATTTACTGCAGCCTTGACTTCTTGGGCCAAGCAGTCCTCCCAATCCAGCCTCCCAAGTAGCTGGGACTACAGGCAAGTGCCACCATGCTGTTTTTAATCCATGCTAAGTTTTAAATTTAACACAGGCTAATTCTTAAATTTTAAAATATACACTATTTGGGGGGATTTTTTTCTTTTTTCCTTTTTTGGTAGAGGCAGGGTTTTACCATGCTGCCCAGGCTGGTTTCCAACTCCTGGGCTCAAGCTATCCACCCACCGTGGCCTCCCAAAGTGCTAGGATTACAGACTTTGAGCCACCATGCCTGGTTTATGCAGTCTCTTATATCTCCACAGGTCCTTGTGGTTAGTTTCCTGCTCTTGGGAATCAGAGTAGCAAAACAGATGGAACATTCTGGAGCCCACCTGGCCTGGCTATAATTTTCAGTTTGCCACTCACTGCCTATGTGCATTACTTTGTGCTTAGCCTCTTCTGTGTCATTATCTGAAAGGAATGCCCACCTCGTGATATTTGCTCATACATTTGATCAATACTTGTAGACCACCTAATGTATACCAGACACTGCTGATATGGCAGGAAGAAAAATAGGCATTGCTTTTAAATGCATATATGAAAAGAAACAGCCGGACATGGTAACTCACACCTGTAATCCCAGCACTTTGGGAGGCCAAGGCAGGTGAATCACTAGAGGTCAGGAGTTCAAGACCAGCCTGGCCAACATGGCAAAACCCTGTCTCTACTAAAAATACAAAAATTAGTTGGGTATGGTGACATCCGCCTGTAATCCCAGCTTTTCGGGAGGCTGAGGCATCAGAATCGCTTGAACCCGGGAGGCGGAGGTTGCAGTGAGCCGAGATCACGCCATTGTACTCCAGCCTGGGTGACAGAGGGAGACCCTATCTCAAAAAACAAAAGAACAACAACAACAACAAAATGGCCACACTCGCTTCGGCAGCACACATACTAAAACAGGAACAATACAGAGAAGATTATCATGTCCCCTGTGCAAGGATGACACCCAAATTCATGAAACTTTCGTATTTTAAAAAAATTTTAGGCTGGGCATGATGGCTCACTCACGCCTGTAATCTCAGCACTTTGGGAGGCTGAGGCAGGTGGATCATCTGAGGTCAGGAGTTCAAGACCAGCCTGACCAGCATGGTGAAACCCTGTCTTAAAAAGAAAATTATTAAATTTAAAAAAAAAAAGAAAGAAAAAGAAATGGCAAACAAGCCAACATATAAACATGCAGTAGGCTGGGTGGTGCTTTGTGTCATAAGGAAAAATAAAGCAGGGTAAGGGGCCGGGAGTGATGGGATAGCGGGTATTTGAGAGCGGGAAGTCAGGGAAGGCTTCTTTGGTAAACTATGCAGACAACTGGGGAGAGAACTGTCCAGACAGACAGAAGAGTATGTGCAGAGGCCCAGAGGCAGGAATCGGCATGAGTTCAAGGAACTGCAATAAGGTCAGTGTGGCTGAAGCAGAGTCAGCAAGGGGGCGAGTGGCCAGAAATGAGGTCACAGGTCACCGGGGGCCAGCTGTGCCATGCTGAGGACTTTGGATTTTCTTCGGAGAGAGGAAGCCACTGGAGGACTTCAGGGAGAGGGACGATGTGATCCAATATGTTTTGCAAAGGAGCTGTCTGGCTACTATGAGGACAACAGACCACAGGGGAACCAGGAATCATGGAAGAGAGACTGCTGCAGTTATCTAAGTGAGAGCAGATGGTGGCTCACACCAGGGATAGAAGTGGAGGTGGGGAGAAGGTTTTGAGGATTAAAGAAGATAACACTGCTGTAGTCCCAGCTACTCAGGAGGCTGAGGCAGGAGAATTGCCTGAACCCAGGAGGCGGAGGTTGCGGTGAGCCGAGATCGCGCCATTGCACTGCAGCCTGAGTAACAAGAGCAAAACTCCGTCTCAAAAAAAAAAAAAGATAACACTGGCCAGGTGTGAGCCGCACTTTGGGAGGCTGAGGTGGGAAGATTGCTTGAGCCCAGGAGTTCATTCAAGACCAGCCTGGACAACACAGCTTTTAAACTCATTAAAAATTTTTTTATAAAAATTTTCTATAAAATGTTCCAGAATTTCTGTATTTAAAAAAAATTAAAATTAGTTGGTAGTGATGGCTTGCACCTGTGGTCCCAGCAACTTGGGATGCTGAGGTGGGAGGATTGCTTGAACCCAGGAGGTTGAGGCTGCAGTGAGCCGTGTTCATGACGCTACACTGCAGCCTGGGTGACAGAGCAAGACCCTGTCTCAAAAAAAAATAAAAATAAAAAGAAGAAGAAGAAGATGATCATTTACAGTGCTCTGAATACATTATTGAGGTTTCATTTCTATTTACCAAATATTTGGGATCCAGATTAGCAGTGGAGAGCCACTGGAGTACAGTGGCATAGACACTTAAGCTGATCTGAAATGAATGCTCCTGGCCTCCTCAGGTGGAGGGTTTGTACACATACGCGCACGCACACATAACACACACACTCACACACACCCTGGTATCTGCCCAGTGACCCCAGGTGAGGGTCTGCCAGGCCCTTACTGGACAGGCAGCCCCTCTCTCTGACCCCTTCCTGTGGTCCTCTGTCCCATGTCCTCAAAAGCATACAGAGCCACTGATGTGCTGGGATACTGGAAGCAAGACATCCAGCTAGGACTGCCGAGATGGCAGCTCACTATACATGATCTGAGGGGCTCCACTCTCTGCTGCTCCTCCCAACTGTGGGGTGGTGAGAAGGGCAGGTCTCCTTGTAGGTTATGTAAATATTTGTTGAACAATAACACAGCTGGGATTAGGGCTGGGCTCTGGAACAGTCTGCTGTGCATCAGCTGACTCCCAGTGTCCCCAGTTCAAACTCTCCTACCTACCTTCAAAACCTGTCAGTCTGAGCCCCACGCTAGCCCCAGGGAGAGAGTTGGCAAGAAGCGGTGCCAGTGACTGGTGAAAAGAACCCTGCTCCAGGAATCGAGACATCTGGGTTGTGTGGAAAGGTCTTGAGCCACTCACTTGCCCTGTCTGGGCTTAATTTTCTCCTCTGTGAAAATGAGGGGTTTGCACTAGATGCTTTCTAAAGTCCTTTTTGTCTCGAACATTCTGGATTTTCTGACCATATGAACTGGGTCTGATCCAGGGTACCTGGCATTTCCTCCAGGAAGGGCCTGGAAATTGAGGAGGAAAGACAGCAGCCATGCTGGTCCAGGAAAGGAGAGAAGCTCCCTGCACTCACACATTAGGAACTCTGGAAGACACAGACATTGCTAATGCTGAAGAAATCCATTGCCTTGACCTGGACCCAATGTCACTGTAGCTTCCAAACCTGTGGCTAAACTAGACCACGCTTTTGTTAATCTTTCTGGCCGTTAATGTTCTAAAGCAAGTATAATAATACCTGCCTCACCTTAGATCACTAGGTTGTTTGAAAATAGAATCAATTTGGCAGGGCGGGGTGGCTCACACCTGTAATCCCAGCACTTTGGGAGGCCTAAGCAGGCGGATCACAAGGTCAAGAGATCAAGCCCATTCTAGCCAACATGGCAAAACCCTGTCTCTACTAAAAATGCAAAAATTAGCCGGGCCTGGTGGCTTGCACCTGTAGTCCTAGCTACTCAGGAGGCTGAGGCAGGACAATCGCTTGAATCTGGGAGGCAGAGGTTGCAGTGATCCGAGATTGCACCACTGCACTGCAGCCCCGCAACAGAGTGAGACTCCATCTCAAAAAAAAAGTAAGAAAAGAAAAAGAAAATAGAATAAACTCATAGATGAAAATGCTTTGAAAACTCCTGCCACACAGAATAGAAATTATTTTCCTAGACATCTGTCCAGGTCACAACAGATGATTCTGTCAGGATTCAGTAGTGTCATTGGGGGATCTGGGATTGGTTTTTGAAAGCTGGGATTAAGGATGTGGCCAGGTAATTCCCCACTGATCCTGCCACAGTATGGAAAGAGTTAGTTCACTGAAGTCTCTCTCACAGTTCCTTTCTCTTTCATTTCCCTGCCCCTCTATTCGGGTTTAATTCCTTCTCTTTTTAATCACTCTGCTGTAAAATGCCCATTGTCCTACCTCTGCCACTATGCTATCAGCTAGGCCTGGCTAGGATGCAGGGGAGTCTCAGGCGCAGCTATCACACACACAGAACAGAGGGACGTCTCTGACTGGCCAACACTTCTGCAGGGACAGGAGCTTTTCCAGCTTTCCCTGAAGCTGGAAATGAAAATAGCCTCATGATTGATGGGAAAGAGAAGACGTGAGGGCGGGTCAACAGACAGAGTGCTGGATTCCTACCTTGGGACCCTAATCTTCTCATGGGTCTCATTTCTAGGGCTTACCAGGAAATCAGGTATGTGGTCAGGCCCCAGACAGGTGACACTGGGGCCCAGAAACCCCCTGGCAAGTGACACTGGAATTCAGAGAACACCAAACTGCCTCGCAAGTCTTTACCTTTTTTTTGCCCTATTCTAATCAACCACGTCAACCTCTTTTTTTTTTTTTTTTTTCCTGAGATGGAATTTCGCTCTTGTTGCCCAGGCTGGAGTGCAGTGGCGTGATCTTGTCTCGCCGCAAACTGCCTTCCAGGTTCAAGTGATTCTCCTGCCTCAGCCTCCCAAGAAGCTGGAATTACAGGCATGTGCCACAATGACCTGCTAATTTTGTATTTTTAATAGAGACAGGGTTTCTCCATGTTTGTCAGGCTGGTCATAAACTCCCGAACTCAGGTGATCCACCCACCTCGGCCTCCCAAAGTGCTAGGATTACAGGTGTGAGCCTCCACACCCTGCCCAACCACATCAACTTCTGAGATTATTGTCAGGAAGACAAGGAGAGCCTCCCATAAACTATCTTTAGATGTCTCTGTTGGAAATGGAATGTCAGCCAGAAGGACCTTGGGCATCAGGCAAAGTGACTCCAGAGATCCTTTGAGGTGGGGAAGGTGTAAGAAGGAAGAGGGAATTACCCCCTCCCAGGAATCTGGCTGAGGGACCTCATACATATTAGTCTGTGTTCTGTCCTCTGCTTTGGACATTTCCTGGCCTCTCTGTGCCTCAGTTTCCCCCTTGTAAAGAGCTCCTGTGAGAGTGCTGGCATGGGAGACAAATAAGATCATGGCTCCCAAGGGCTCTTTAAAGACAAGCCCCAGAGGAGCACAGAGGAGGCCTATGTGAGAGAGACAGGCCTTTTTCCTCTCTCCCTCTTTGGCTGGGTTTTCTTTCTGGACAAGTGCCTGACTCCCAGCTCCCTTTCAGCAGGTGTCATCCCCCTCTACCATGTGTCCCTCAGCTGTCCCCTATACCCTGTGCCCTAGTCTACAATCATGCTCAGAGTCACCCCTGCATTGCCCATTGTCCCCCCCCAACTGTAGTCAAGGCAACCATGCCAGCCATATCCCTTCCACTCTGCCACACCCCCCATGACGGGCAAGGTCAGGGCCCTTCAAGCGCAGGAGCTGAGCCCACTGACAGGGGAGGCTGTGTTTTCGTATTTTCACAAAAAGCTCCCAGACAGCATTTCTCTTCAGTGCTGCTGCCAATTACCCAAAGTGCCTTGACCTGTGGGCTGAAAATAGCAGGTGCTAATTTGCATGTTATTTATTTAAGTAACAACGCCTCTGGGATCCTGCTTCTTCCCCTATAAAAGTCCTCCATAACCTCCACCAAGCAGTAAGACAGACACTACTGTGGGACTTAGACTCCTCATAAAGAAGGAAAGAGGAACCGATAGCGGGAAACTCACCTTCTGTTGGGTTCTGGCAGCTCAGGAATCAATCCCAAGAAGGAGGTGGCTTAGAGACCCTATATCCCAGGATGCTCTCAGTGGGGACTTAGCTGAGAGTCCCTCCCCTAAGCTGAGCTGGCTGAAACTTGTTCTCTTTATGATCTGTTCCTCCAGTCCCTGTGTGAGGTGAGACACAGGGGGAGGAGGCTGGAAGGGAGGGTGGACAGGCCTCCAGGTATGAGGATGAGGGATAGGGCCACATGGTCTCTAGGGGGCTGCGAGGGAATGTTCAGGAACAGCTCAGCTCCCTTCAGGAGACCCCTGTCCC